CTTTATTCCACCCAGCCACGCCCTCGAAACATCCACAAGACAGAAATATGAAAGAGTACCATTTGTAGTAACATTTAATCCAGCCCTTCCCAACAAAAACCATATTGTTTCAGCCTGGCAATCTTAGCATTCTTCATTCTTCACAACGATGCAAGGAAGCACTTCCTTCTCGTCCTCTTATATCTTACCGCCGCTGCGATAATTGAAGAAATAGTTGTTTGTCGGCTACGGGTACCGAACATGTCGAGGTAAGACAGTTCGAGGAGAACAAACTTATACCGATAAAAATTTCGGTGAAGAGAAATTTGTGTGGTAAGCACCATTCCAAAGTCGACTCATTATGTGTGCTTGCGCCGAAATCATTGTGGGGATTGGATTGCCTAAACTTCGCTAATAATGTTAAGCGGCTTATAATGTTAAGCGACTTTTCACTTCTGTATACAACTTCTGCACTGGCTTTTTAGCTTCTAACATGGAAATCTAACATGTTCTGTTTAGGTGTTTGCTTTGCCAGTTATTTGGGTCTCAAAACTTGTTTGTTCATTTTAAGGTGGCTGAACACAGTTTTGGCAGTTTCTGAGTATATGGCATTTGCCAAATTATGGCAAGAGAAGGGTTGCTGAAACTTGGCAAGTGGAAAATATATTGATGAAAGATTTTGAGTGACAGGTAAAATTTGTCATTTTCGTTGTTTCCATGGCAACATGAACGATTGAATACTACCTTAAAATTTCACTTTTGCTCAGTTTACAGAAAATTCACTCATTAGATTTGCCTATAAACTTGCACACAGCTTACTATAATTAATAATTACCATTTGAAACTTATTTGACCAAATTTTAACAGAGGGGTTTACAAATAATCAATAATACAATTGTACTGTAATTATTAAATTTGTCACAAAAATCGTTTGTTCAAATTCCGTTTTGAAGTTCTCATTATTTAAAATACGATAAAAGTAAAAATTCTGCCAAATATCACAAAATTTTATGAGTAGATTTTGAGAAATCGTCTTCTGTGTACCATTGCTTTTTCGCCGCCATGTTTGTTTGTCTAAGTTAAAACACTCGCCGTCACGCGAGTTACCGCTGACTGCCCGCAAAACTGTGTTCAGCCACCTTAAGTGCTGACATTTCGGGATGAGTCTGAACAAAAATTTCCTCACCCCTCGCCTGTTAGATCATTTCTACGGCATATGCTTTCACACCTACTCCCTTAAGTCGGCACCTGTTAGGCGACGATGGCTTACGAAGAACTGAATTTCGCGGTCGATGACCTGGCTACGGTAATCGCAACCTTTGTTTCTCGAATAATAGAGGCACTTTACCTTGAACAATTAAAAAAGACCATAAAAGAAGCGAGAATCTCTCTCACTGTTCACCCATAATTGCAACCCAAAGTTTGATACCATGCCATTCGGAATGGCGAAGATTTCCTTTTGTCAAAGTACGGATGCGGACGTGGTGGCCTGCGAAGCTTGCAAACCAACTATCTGCTGAGGCCAATCAGAGTTGAATTTCAACCCCCTAGATAAATCAATCATATGAGCGGTAAGGTTTTGATTTAGTAGCTCTTGTGCAGTTTTAATTCATTCGTCAGCAGTCTATCTTTTTTTGTGGTATTTTCTTTTATACAGTTTGTAGGTTTACTACTTTTCTTTGTCGAGCTGATGAACCTTACTGGGATTTCGCTTGTTTTCTAATTGTACTGTACATACAATATATTAAAATGGTTAACGAGCGTCTGTGAAACGCCTTGTCGCCGGGGTTGAGCTTTTTTGTTCCTTTAAACTAACAGAAAACAGGCAACAAAAGAAAAGAACGGTAGACTTTGAACCCGAGCTTGCAATTTAGTGACACCTGTTGGGCCCGGTTCAGATTCCGAAATTTTCATGAGCCAAACTTAATTCGAATTAAACCGACTTAAATCATTTAGACCAGCTGGATTGATTCAGACACCGATCTTAATTCTAGCCGAACTAAATTCAAAAAGAGAAAAGTGATTATTTTCGAGTCACAGTGCTTACAAAATACGTTATAATTTACGCATTAGGATCGGTACATGAAAAGTTCGACGTCTGAATCAAAGCCCGTCCAAAGTCGATGCATAGTCGAAATTCCAGGCCGGGCTAGGCAGGAAGAACGGCTGAGCTGTTCCAAATTGAAACAGGTGTTCCTGATTGATTCAGACGCCGAACTCTTCATGTACTCAATCGGTTCAATGTATTAGGTTCGGCTCATGAAAAGTTCGGCGTCTGAACCAGGCCTTACATGGCGAATTTCAACTCGGACGTGACGGAAATTATTTAGGGTTCGTTATTGCGGCCTCTGATAAAAATTCTCATAGCGTAGGCCTCTTTGTTGCTCTTCACTTTCCATATGTCGCTATTAAACATCTTTTTTTGTCTTCTTTATCACCAGACTTTACATTTCTTTTTAGGGTTCATCGATGATCCTAATGGGCAGTTAAATACCTTTGAAAACTCCGGAATGTTCCTCAATGTACCATTAACCCTGCAAACACAAGAGAAAAATACAATACTAACCAAGCGACCCCTCAAGGGTTTATGCGCTGTAAAGTTTAGTGGCATGTAAAAGTTATGTAAGCCTTGTTTCTCTCGTTTTGATAGCATAGTTTACCGACTGTAAATCACCCTTTAAGAATCCTCAAATTTATGTCGTAAAACTGAATTCCTCAAAGAGAAGTCTATAAGAGAAGTGCCTCCTCATTAATTAACTTAGATGAATAGTGACTATTGTGCCACAAAAAAAGAGTAAGTATAGCATGGAACCGAATTCAGGAGATCTTAGGGAAGTTAAAAACAAGTTGAATGGAAGTTTGCAGAGTATATTACAGGGGGCTCTCATTTTCTAATATTCTACTCAAGCTTTTAGTAAAACTAAAACTGACATCTCTATGTAGATTCGAGTAATAAACAAAGAATAACATTTAGTGTGTTGATTATCCTAAAGCACTAATTTGTACCGGAATACCCGGCCTTAGTAATATTCTGCTAGAGTATACCTCCATGGCATAGGACTGTGATCAAAATATTTTGTAGCAATTCCGGCAGCTATTTTGCTGTAGTGGCTGCACCAGTTCTGCTAATAAACGAGTACATTAAAAGAACAGCTAGGTTAGAAATACACATAAGGGATTAGCATTCAATTTACATGTACGTCACGAGTACAGTAGTAGGGAAGTTAAGTGTAAAGAAAGTAAGCAATACAAACTTTAATTTCATGGAATGGACGGCAAACCTTGGCGCGCTGTTTTTAGCGCACGCACTGAATCGTAGAAATTGTGCATAATTATACATAAATTGGGCTGTGGACTGGAATCTTGTCAAACTTGCTCTTATTTACATTAAACGCCAGCCTTACCCTTGCATAGCTTATAAAGAAAACCTGATCATTGGTCAGCATCACTCCAGGAAGTCTTGGTTCTTCCCAATGTTCACGAACCCACTTCCGGTACGCCTGTATACAAAATCAAAACAAGAGAATTTGATCAACTTTGAGAATAATAAAAACATCTTTATCAAGAAAATATAATGGTGTTACTGCAGCCATTGGGGTCGGCCAACAAGTAGAGAAAAATGCGCAGAAGTTCCTCTGAAAGCACAGTATTTTTTCGTTTCTCTTGCCTCATCATCCTGTCAGGTGTTGTGCTTGCCTACTTAAAGGTGGATTTCCCCTGTCGCGTAGTTTCGTTTTACGCGCGTAAGTAGGGAACTTAAGAACCACGACGACGGCTTGGTCGACGACGACCGGAAGTGAGTTACACTGTACTGCGCAAGCGCGACTAGTAAATTTCGTCGTCGTGGTGTCGTCGACGACGCCATACAAAGTAGAATCACGTCGTCCTGCAATCCACAAGCTTCGGCAGGTATAAATCCACTGTTTTAAGCGATTTTTGAAGGCCTTTACATTTTCTTGTCCTCCTAAATCCAGGTATCGTTCCTTTTTTCTCCAAACAAGCGATGTTGATTGAAAATTCGACTAATGAATTGATTTTACTTTGAAGAATGGCAACAGCTGAGGAGGCCGAGCGAGCGAACTCGTAAGTGAATTGTGATAAATTTATTTGTACGTATTTAGGTAAGGCAAATCATATATCTTTAATATAGAGGAAATAAACTTTATATGGAAAACAGCTATCATATCAGAATGTCTCTTTTTCGAAATCTAAACTCTGACGGACACTCGGACTCGGCCATCTCATTCAAGTTGAAAGTTGAATAATTTCGTACGGAAAGTAGGTGTATTTCCACTCGAAAAGGTCAGAGAGCACAAAAAATTTTTCATCGTCAATGAAATTAGACGTACGGCTTGAACAAATAAGATCTTGCGTTGTTTTGAAAGACGCCATTGCGAAAAACTTTGTTGCGAACGAACGTCACAGTTTTACATCTGTGTTTACATTCAGTGTCGTCGTCGTCGACCTACCGGGTCCGTGGGTCATTCGTCCATTTAATTTTCAATTCAAAATTAAAAATTGAAAATCGATGTCAATTTTTGATTTTCATTTTTTTTCTTCCTGTATAAGGGATAAACATGTTTCATAAGTCTTTTTACCGTTTTCCCCTGTAAACAAAAATGAGAAAATAAACACACAGCTCTTATTTGCTACAATCAATGTTAACACGGTTATCGAACCATGGATATTTTCGCTATTCGCGGGAAAATCGTTTCCGCAGTCATCTGTTAACTACAATGACGTGAAATTAGAAAAAAAATTAAAAATTGAATGTCGCGATCAATTTTCAATTTTTGTTTTTGGACGAAGAATTGATCAATCGATCACGCTCTAAGTGACAAAAGTACCAAGAGGGGAGGACCCAAGTGCAGAAGTGCCCAGGAGGAGTGGGGGTGGGGGCGGGGGGTAGAAGGGAGACGGGATTGCAATTGTCCGCCATCTTTAATGTCGGATACGTCCTGGGAACTAGCCTTAGGAAAGAAGCGGGAAATACAACTTTGGAGTGCTGTTTCAGCCTAAATATGGACGCCGTAAACGTCGGTTTCGTGAGAGATCTTGTTGTGACGCAGAGAAAAACACATTTACAAGTCAGTTTGTTGCTACAAGAAGCATATCCTGGAAAGAGAGGCTTAAGTTCGCGGTCCGTTAGAAGGTTTTGCCTTAAAAATGGAATTCACGCGCAAAATCGGCTGTCAAACGAAGAGCTGGAACACTACACGAAACAAGTTGTTGCTAGGGTGGGTATTTTTGCTTGAAATTCTTTTTTTTTTTTTTCCTGTGGGGAAAAAACTGGTTGAATTAAGAAATTTTTCATAAAGTAACGTCATGAATGGATATTATTCGGAGAAACGTTGTTGGTACCACACGTAAACCGTTCATCACCAACCTTCACAATCTTTTCAAGGCTACCGGTCCATAAAGACACCCTGTTCAAGGCGCTAAATAGTTAACCTGTTTAAGACTCAAGACCCGGATACCACACCCTGTTCAGCGCCACGTACCCTTCTAGGCCAAATAAGGGACTGCGCCCCAAAGAGTGGAGATGAAATCCTCATTCTATTCCAAATCAACATTGATCACCATTAGCAGACTGATATATGTCTAATACATTTAAATTTCACCATCATAGTAGGAGTAAAACCTTATCTTGTCTTTAGGCAAAGTCTGGAAGTCTCAGCCAAAATGCAATAACTATGACGTTGCAAATTGATGACATCAAAAGCATACGCTCTCTGTCAACTCCCTCTTAGCCTGTGTGCAGACGTCCCCCCTCCCGCAGAAAAAAAAAATTGATTTTTTTTTACTGAGGGAGGGGGGGGGGGGGGCGTCTGTACACAGGCTACTCCCTCTTAACTAATCAACTTTCAATGGGATGGACACTTTTTAAATTGGCAACTTGGAGATGTCTCCCAAAGGTGTCCATCTCAAAGACAGTTGAAATAAATCATTAAGTTATTGATGTGTTTTACTCAAGGTTGGACCCACATGGGGTAGAAAAATGGTGAAAGGATATATGGCCAGTTGTGGTATAACAGCTGGTGACAAGCGCATTGGAAAAGCTTTGTCAATTGTCTCTCCTCTGTACCAAGTCCAGAGAAATACCAACACCGCCAGGCAAACCAATCCCTATCCTTACCATGCTGACTATTTTGGTCACAAATTGCACATGGACCAAAATGAAAAACTGGCAATGTATGGATTAACTGAAGTCAGTGCATGTGATGGCTATAGCGGAAAGATTGTGGCTTTTGCAACAATGCCAGTGAAGAACAATGTTTTGATCTATGAGAATGTTTACAGGTACAGTATTCGACAATTCTTTAAAAATTGCTATTATTACTATAGGTGATAATAATATTGCAATTATTGCAGCAGTGTTTCCACTTTAACAACAAGCACTTCCAGATAAGAAGTACCAGCAAGGGTATAAATAGCAAAATAAGAGAAGCAGCCAAGTAACAGTGATGAATATATCACGAAAACAAGCATAGATCATATTAAAATTTGATTTATGTTTATTTACTCACCTTTGTATGTGTTATTGATGTTTAAATATTACATCCTATATTTGCTTTTCTCTTTGAAGAACTGCGGTCATTCGGCATGGCATTAGGGATCAACTCAGAGTAGACCATGGAACAGAGTTCTATCTCTCTTTGTATGTACAAGAAAAAATGTCTCCATATAGGACCAATACAAGAAGGGAACCATTTATACAAACAACTTCGAAGCAGGTGTTTGTTTAGTGAACATGTCACCATTATTTATTATGATAATTACCATTAATCATTATTTTTATTATTATCATTTACTATTATTTTTCTCATTTCAAGAATCATCCTGCTGAGAGAAAATGGGTAGAGTTTAACTCCCGTGTCAACTACCCTATTAAACGAGCTCTAAATGCTATGGTGAATGAAGACCTAATAAATATGGATGATGACATGAACAAGTTCTGTGTATCATGGTTTACCTCTAGGGTAGCAGACATTGGAATCAAACAAGTTATTTCCAGCTGGAACAACCATGCTATCCCTGGTAAGAGTTTATTGAGGTGGTGGTGGTTCAGTAAACCCAGCCTATGGAAAATCGATATTTTTATAATTCCAAGTTTTAACTGTACCAGGAGTTTTAATAACTGCCAAGTTAAATATGACAGGTAACGAGAATTAAGAAGGGGTCTCTTCATTCTCCACATTCTCAGGTAAATTAAATTACTCAATATTCATCTGTTGGGATAATTAACTTTCTGAGTGTGGGAGTGCTACACCAATAACAAAAATTGTAAAAAACTGAATATCTTAACCCTTTAAGCCCCAGTATCCACATACAAATTCTCCAAACTGATCTCCATACATAGTCCTTTAAGAATAAGTTGAGAGAATTTAATAAAACATCAAGGCATTTTCTCTTTCGTGTTAATTTTTTATATTCTTACAACCTTATCTCTTGACAATGTATGGCCATTGTTAGGAGAAAATTGCTGTTGGTCACTATTGGGACTTAAAGGGTTAATAATTACTGTTTTTATTGTCAAGAGACATCTTTCTTCTTGAACATCAGTGTTTCTATTCTAACAGGGAAGGGAGTTCCAGATAAAAGAATGGAGGAAAATAAGAAGACATTTATCCTTCCATCTATAGACATGCTTCCCACTGGTGAAGAAGCTGTATCTGCCTACGAAAGGGATGGTGGCAATCTTAGATCTCCAGAAGTGTTTGGAACTGATATCCTAGCTGGGAACAAACAGCTCCAGCAATTGCGTTTTGATAACTTTAATGCTGCTTACCCTAGTTTCGAGGTCATTTTCTATTGCCTTGTGAATGGTGATCATCAACCATTTAGAGAGGGCCTAATGAATTTCATTGATCTAACTACAACATATAATCCAAACTAACTGTTAGAACAACCACAATATTTAATGATTTCAATATATCTCTGTTTATTTTCATGAAATTGAATACTTATTACATCTGCAAAGTAGAAATGGTAACATGATTTTCAAAACCATTCATGAAACTCTGTGAAAATATCACTATGTTGTTTCACGGGAATTAAGATGTGAAATAAAATGTTCAAATTTACAACAGTTTCCTGCTTTACCAAATATCAACCTGATCAAACAAAATCATCTTAAACATTAAAATTCTTGAATCCACCTATTAAATGGTTCAAAGCTGAAAAAACACAATTAAAAGTCACAAAACTGAAAAGCCAGTATTTTCATTCATGTAGATTATTTCTCTTTCCATCATTAATCACTGGCATTACTTTCATCAGATTTGATCAACTTCCTTACCCCAACTAAAAACTCATCTAAGCCTTTAAACTGAAAGGTAGAGGCATATCCTCTTGGTTCATTGCAATGTGGACACTTCTTACTAAGTCCATCAGCCCCATCATACCAATGATTAACACATTCCTCACAGCCAATTAAGCTGTTACAACACTTTGCTGCAATTACTGGGGGTTTCATAGGTGTGGAGAGACAGATTTTGCATATGAAGGCATCTCTTAGAAGTTTGACTACCCCGAGTGGCAAGGACAAAGTTTGGTTTACTTTCAATATGTCACTGACCATTGATTTGACTTCATTTATTTGAGAATTTACCATTTGAATATCTCCATGGTTACCACCTCTAGTCTTCTTGAGAGTGAAGTCTTCATCACTGTCATCAGAAATGTCATAACATGAGCTGTAACTTGCTTTTGCCTTTGACTTGGCTGATCTCTTTAAAGGAACATGTGTAGTGACCCTCACAGCATAAATTTTTCTGCTTCCACACTTCCAAAAAGACAAACCTACAAAAAAGCACAGAAACAAGTTAATACAATTATGTCGATGACGATGAAGATCGATGACTTCACAAAGTTCAAACATTAGAGTAGATGGACCAATATTTTCCCAGTGCCCTGGGTCTAATATTTCGACTGAACTCGCAGTACAGGACAAAAGTGACATTGCATACAAGATTTTTGAACAATATTCAGCTGTATATTTGTGACAGACTGATTTTCGAAACAATAATAAAATGTTACTGATAATACACCCCACTGATTATGTGTGGATATTCAAGACCTATGGATATTTCAAGACCTATATATGTTATGCGATGGTAAAGACAACAATGCAAATAAATTATATAATTAGTAACCTTTAGTGCATTCGTTGTCCATTATCCTCAGACCATTACTGGACACCAACTCTAAAGAGGGATCATTGAAGGCATCTCTTGCCTTTGATAGAATATAGTAGACATTGGCTGTATCTACATTGATGTTAAGGTATGTCTGCCCAAGCTCACTGAAAGATGGGGATCCTTTACCATTCTGGGTCATTTCTGCATGAATAATTTTCACAAGGGCACCACCTTTCCTTTTATTTCCACCAAAGAGTGCAGGCCTTGAAGAGCTTCCGGGAGTGACTCCATATGAGAATACTTGACTAAGCTGTCCAGAGTGCTGTTCTGCGACTTGTGGGGCATATGAAGAGGGGGGCTGCACAAATTCCCCCATAACTTGCAGCGACGTTCCATCCATTAGGTGACCGAGGTTAAACCGACCTGCATCATTTGGCCAAAAGGCCATATCTCCAAATTCTACTTTGAGATATAACGAGTTCGCTTCAACCTAAAACGTAGGATTTTTACATTAAAGAGATGTTCAAAGCTTAAATATTAAGGAATTAGATGGTTCGAGGTTGTGTTTACCTACCTGAAAAGCTCGCGAAAGTCGAGCGACATTTACGTCGCCCGAATTCATTCGAATTCGTAGCTCTTTTCCTTCTCGACTTAAATCGAAACTCTTCAGAGATGCCATACTAAATGGACCGACGTAAAAGTACAACGAACGAATTCAACAAAGGGAGACCGGACCAACAACAGAGAGAAGATTCGTCCGAAACACAACCTTGATGAAAAAGACAGGTAAGAAAAGCGCGCGAAAAACCATGGGTGTTGTCAAAGTAATAAGACACAGGGGGGAGCCCAAAGTCCAATATTTATTTTAGTCAAAAATAAAACCTAGTAAATGTACATTATTCTAAAAAAACATAAGCTTAAGTACGATTTCCCTACTTTCAACAAAGGAGGTTGGGAATTTCTTAGTTTTGATGTTATAGCGGCGGTTCAACAAAGAGAGAACTCAACCCTGACCCCCGTCCCCATAGTGTTCTAGTAGCAATTCAAGATGGCGTCTTTGTTTTAAACTGACTCGGGTCGGGTACTCCCCCACCTCAGTCCCTTTCCCTCTTCCCTCCCCTCCCCTACTGGGCACTTCTGCACTTGGGTCCTCCCCACTTGGTACTTTTGTCACTTAGAGCGTGATCGATTGATCAATTCTTCGTCCAAAAAGAAAAATTGAAAATTGATCGCAACATTCAATTTTTAATATTTTTTCTTAATTCACGTCATAGTAGTTGACAGATGACTGCGGAAACGGTTTTCCCGCGAATAGCGAAAATACCTATATTTCGATAACCGTTTTAATATTGATTGTAGCAATGAAGAGCTGTGTGTTTATTTTCTCATTTTTGTTTACAGGGGAAAGTGGTAAAAAAAGTTATGAAACATGTTTATCCATTATACAGACAGAACAAAAATCGAAAATCGAAAATTGACATCGATTTTCAATTTTTAATTTTGAATTGAAAATTAAATGGACGAATGACCCACGGACCCTACCGACCGATTGCATCTTAAATTTCCTTTAGCCCGCCGAAACCGACGTTCTCGTTCCAGTCTTTTCCCAGTCAACAGACGTCGTCGTCGTGAACTTCGTCGTGGTTCTTAAGTTCCCTAATAAAATAGAGACAAGGTATGAAGGTGACGCGTGAACGTAAAAGTTGAACCTTGCTTAACTTTCACATTTACGCGTGGCCTTTCATACATTGCCTCTATTTTATTTACGCGCGTTCGCACGGAAAAATTACGTGACAGTGGAAATCAACCATAAGGAACAATGCGAGACTGGACTTACTTTCATAGGCAATGCAAACAATCGGTGATGTTTAAGAGGCCCTGCGCCTAAGAAACGACCGATGATTTCCGGCTAAAAAATAAAATCGGCCGATTTTTATCTCCCAAGTAGAGGTTACCGAATACTATTCAAAAATGAATTTCTTTTGTTTCAGTTTCGCTTTAAACCAAAAATATTGAGCCGCAAACATTTTCCGTCTGATAGCAGCAAAATCAGGACTAAAATAAGCCCTCGCAAAAAACGGTTCAGAAATCCCTATCGCGACGCAAAACAACGAGAAAACCACACAGTGATGAAAAAAAAGGCCTTTTAATGCAATATCATTCGATAAACATCGAAAAACTGCCGAAGGGAATGAAAAATAAATTTGCAAATATTGCATATTCAATTAGATGGAGCGTTGGAGCTGATTTTAAAATAATTATTTCTCAAAAGTCCAACGCTGCTGAAAGCAATCACAGTGATGAATCAGACATTGGAGGGATATAGATGACGTTTTCGGAAAAACATTTTTCGGCCAAAGTATACTGACGTTGTAAAAACCGTTCAAAGTTATCGTATTTACCGTTAAGTTGCCACTTCGGCGAAACACTTCTCTGTTGCCAATATGGCCAAGGATAGCGTGGTAAACGCCACTTTAAGCCTTGCTAAGCGCTCAAAACCATCCTAAATAGAAGTAGATAGAATTAAAAGAGAAAGGAAAATGAGAGATTCGCAGAAAAAGAGAATAACTCGAAATTACCATCTGCTAGGGAGAGTTGAATCTTGGAAATGTTGTCGCGTGACAGCGTTCATTTGTCCGAACTGCAGCGGGATCCAAACAAATACGTGAAATATAAGTTTAAAAAAACAATCTTTCTATCACCAGAAATCGTGAAGTGAAACAGTTTTATGTTATTCCTATTAATGATGATGAATTCAGCCTCAGCTAGTCTCCAAGTACTTTGAATGCTGGCTGCTTGTGGCTGCTTGTATTTCGTTACATACATTCCAACGGACGTTACGGGTCAGCGCGTGTAGGGGTCAGCGGACCTGAAGAAATGTGACGAAGTTGGAGAGCAACGCCGTGCTAGGGGGGACATTGGTAGGTACCCAATACCGCAATACCGTAAGAAAAATTGGCATATACCGAAATACCGTGTCAAAAATCGACGAAATACCGATACCGCATTTATTTTCGGTCATGCTTACTTAAAGTTGTATCCATCTCGCGTGTTTGTTTATTCCAAGCATTTATGCACCAGCAATCAACCTCAGCCATTGCGAGGAAACGTGAGACGACCTCGAATTGATCAGTAAAACGATCGAAAAAGATTCCCTATCAATTTCATCATAGATTATCTGTCAGAAATTGTGTGCTGGTAATCATTTACCATTAATCTAAAGTCTTAAAAATACTGACGTGCATTAAACTAGCCTGCGCAGCAGGCGCTTGGAAGTAGTGGGGGCGCGAGAGAACGGGCGCGCGCGAGGGAGACACGCTACGCAGGCTAGCATTAAACAGGAGAGCGCAGTGAACAGTACCGCAATACCGTGAAGGATCTTCTTTTACCGAAGACCGTTAACCAAAAGGATGAAATACCGCATACCGCAGTGCTAAATGATACCGCAATACTCCACTTCAAAATCCAAATTACCGAAATACCGCTTGAATAAAAGCTCAATACCGTAAGCCCCCATTTCCCCCTCCATGCTGTTGAAGAGATGATAGAAAATTTGGGCTTAAAACATCCAATTATATTTGATGTTTACAATCTTTGTCAATATTATCACAGCAACAAACTTTCATCTTTCAATGTTGGTGTTGAAGGACATGTGCGGGTATTTCGAAACAAATTTACAGATCTAAAAAGAGACCTTTTAGCCAAGGTTTCAGTATAAAGGAATGTGACTGAGGGGTAGCAAAAAATAATTTCGTAC